ATCATAATTAAATTTGTTATAAATAAATATATGTATAATAATATTAAGTATGTAATAAAATTTATGTAAACTATGTCCAGATAAATACTATCATATTTCCTTTTTTAAATTGCACAATAATTACTAATAAATTATATATTTACTGGAATATATATATATAATAGATATTCAATACGGATATATATATATATATATATCCGTATATCTATTATGAATATCTATTCAATACAAATAGCATTTATCTTGTCGTAGTAAACTAAGTTGCATAATCGCAACTGACATAAATTATACGAAATTACACGAAATCGAAACATATAATAACAAAAATTATTTATTGATTTAATAATTTTGATAAATATTTAATTTTAAATAAAAATTTTTTATATTGAATCCATTTTTATGGATTGGATTTAAAATACGGATAGAAAAATTTCTAATCCATTTCAATTCATTTTCATTTGCTGGGGAAGCATAAATCAGGCAATAGTCGGTTTTTATTTTAAGACTATCTTAAGTAATATCCTAAGATATGTTAATACGGCTTTCTGATTGGTTCATGACATCTTAAAATTGTACTTAAAACGATCTTAAATATAAGATCAGAGGCTCGATTGTGTAAAATGAGATGAAAATTACAAAAGTGAGCAATGATTACTATTAAACCAATTAAATTACTAGACCAATTAAATTACTAATATTATAGTGAATTACGAATATTCTTTGTTTACTTTTGTAATTTTCATCTCATTTCAAGATACAATCGATCCCCTGACTATGAATACAGGCAGAAAGAAACCTAAATCTCTATTAATTTGATAGATTTTAGTTATTTCAGCGATTTATTTCTATCATGAGAACCGCAAAAAAATGGACATTGATGTATAATTTACATCCATTTCTTCAGAGGGCAGTAGTGCGCAGCATTTTGCGGTTACAGGAAGAAGGTCTTCACGTCTTCTCTCAGGTTTCTTTCTGCTTGTATCTTTTATCGCTCGTTATCTTGCGGAAGTTTCGTCTCTATACATATTCCGATGATCCACGGCATATCAAACATTTTTCCCACTTCAGCTGACTCCAGCTCTACTGTTAGTATACATTGGCAATATACGTCACGCGTACGCAAGCCAACACAACAACAAAGAGAAATCAGTTGGATCAGTATGGCAGCATTGACAGTTGTGTAATTTTTCTACGACATATCAACTCGTCTAGATAAATAAACGTTGCCTGATCGCGGATCAATCGCAAACAGATCGTTGCAAGTCATTCTATTAGTTATTTTTCGAAATGGGAGTGATATTCCTCGAACATATCGGTGGCAGTCGCCTATTCTCCTGCGCTTCCTGCGACACCAATCTCACCAATAGGTCACAGCTCGTGAGCACACGTTTCACAGGTGCCACGGGACGTGCATTTCTCTTCAGCAAAGTCGTCAACCTGAATTATAGGTGCGTCTATTTATTGTACAAGATCATTAGTATGAAATGAATTTTCTCGAATGATTTGTGTTTTTGTATTCAAGTTTTCAAGGTCTGCCGTTATGAAATATTTGTTAGATTGCATTCTTTTCAACTATTGTGTTCCTATTAAATTAAATCATTCATTTTTTTTTGTTTTTTTTTCTCCAACGGAAAGAAAAAGAAGAAAAATGAAAAGCCTGTTTTTTTTATCTGAATTTCTGTGCAAGAAATAGGTAAAACGAATAAACCTTTTTCAGGATCTATCATTATGAAATATTTATTAAATTACTTTCTTTTCAGATGCTTTCCGTCTGATAACACAAGTCGTTCTATTTTTTTATGCTTCTCAACAAGAGATAATATAGTGATTATTTACAATGATCATTTCTTCTTGATATTACAACAAGGATGTAACGATTCATCACAATATAAATCTCTTGACTGAAAAGTACTACATTAGTCATCGAATGCCAAGAAAAGTAGAATCTGTTGACTGCTATTACCAGACTATGGTTTTTTGTCAGAGATTACATTTTTACATGAATCTTTGGTTCTCTTTTTTACATTTTTGAAAGAACACATTACAATACAGTAACAATTTTGAAAATAGTTTCAAAAGATAAATAAAATTTCTGATTTTTAAGCTGGAGAAAATTGATAACTGTTGTATTGATTTGTGTTATTAAATAGAAAGCACTCTTTGATTGTTGTGTAGTTAATTTTTTCTGTATATTTTATAGTTGAATCAAACATATATTAGAAAATATAAATAATATATTCAATTGAATATAAAATTTATATGATATCCATCATGCGTCTATCATTTAACTCTATATATGATGTACAGTGAGGTTCAGGATAGAGTGATGCTGACGGGTCGCCACATGGTTCGAGACGTCAGCTGCAAAAACTGTGATGCTAAGCTTGGGTGGGTGTACGAATTCGCAACAGATGAGCAACAACGGTACAAGGAAGGTCGTGTTATCCTGGAACGAGCTCTTGTCACAGAGAGCGACGGATTGACGGAGCATAATGTTCAACAATAATGTTTAATATTTAATACCAAGTAGCATTTAATATATTAAGAAACAATCTAACATAGGAACTCTCATATAAGTTATAGTAATATTTAATCTTGTCAATTACAAAAGATTCTTGGTTAGTATCCGACTTGTTTGTGCATAAGCAAGTATTGACAACGTTACTTTCTTGTGATAAGAGACATTCAACATTTTCGTGAATATGACATAGTTCCTATTTCGTAAAAGGAAATTTCTCGAATTCCGACCTTTATTTTGTCACCCTCTCAGATTTACGTCTATTTTTCGCATCAGATCCTATTCACGACAATTGTTGAATCTATAAAAGTGTAAACATCATTGGTATTTTCTTGTAGATGGAACATTAATAAACTGACCTCAGTGGCAAATATGTTTGTCAAGAAAATTAAGAAAACGTGAGTATACACAATTTAGTGAGCGTGTATCATTGTAAGTGCAATATAGATACAATTGAACATGGATCATGTAGCTTTATTTATATCCTTTCAATAAATTTGACAGAAGCAACAATGTACATACTTGCGTAGAATTGGTGCTAGACGCGATTGAGGTATTTAAGTTATTTCTTTTTATACACGTTTCTATTGTTGATTAACTTTAATTTTGGTTCAATTTTTTACCTTTTTCTAATTCTTAGAACTAGAAAAAGATGAAAAATAAGTTAAATTGAAATTAAAATTAATCTATATATTGGTAGAAAGAGGCATTAGCTGAATTTTTGCATGGTTTATTGGAAAAAAAAGAAGAAAGATTAACGATGCAAAAAATTCAGTTAAAAAGAACATGTTTTTTAATTTCTTTTGGTAAAAATTAAAATAAATCCTTAAGAAATATTAAATTCTCTCACAGGTATAAATTGAGAAGGCACATAAAGACTTTCAAAATCTCATGAAAGCTACGTTTTGAAAACTTCAAATACTTTCCAAAGAAATAAAGGTCATGTTCAACATTTAGACGTATAAACATAAAACATAACGATGAAAAGAAGTGTTTAGATTTAGCAATGAATATGAAACTTTGATACAAACTTAGTAATATTACGGAAGCGTTTACTTTGTACTTTAGATAAGCGGATAATGATTCTACAGAGAACAAAAATAAAATTATATTTCTTAATCTTAAAAGATTTAGAGAACGATAAAAGACCACAATAAGTGATAGATTTACGAAATTGTTTTCATGACAAATTTTTTTTAATCGCGTTGACTTCCCAATTAATAGATAATCGGTGAGGAGATTAACGGTATTTCCGTTCTCTAATTTATCGCTAGTTTCAACATAATATATGCATATCGAATGCGCACATTTGCATTTATAATTTTCTAATATACTTTGAATACATAAGTTTTGTATAATTTTTGTATCTAATCGATTTTCTAAATTTGTTGAGGTCTATTTTAATCCTTATCGTATTATAATGTATAAATAAGATATAAAAGTTTCGTCATCATTTTATACTTTGTTATCGTGTTTAATTATTAAACAAGAAAATCGAAACATTTATGATAAAAATGAATGACTAAAGAATACAAAATTTATCAATTATACACACAAAAATGTAGTTCCTTTTAATAAATTATATATTTGATAAATTATATATTATTATAATGACTCACATAATTAATAAATTTTTTTACCTTGTATGTATTGTTTTTTAGGCATTTATTTTTATCTTACATGTTTCAATTTTCTTATTTAATAGTTAGGCATGATAAAGTATAAAATGATGATGAAACTCTTGTATCTCCATACATATATACAATAAGAAATAAGAATGTGCATTAAAAAAATATAAGGTTATGCGACTTTATAAAACAAATTTTAATTCTTCTCTTTTTATAACCAGTCTAGTCTCCATAAATTCTTACATGAATTAATATTAATGTAAATTATACAATAGTGATTATATTATTTATTTTTTGTTTGTATTATTGTTAAGTCCTTTTAATACTTTAAATAAATAAAACAAATCATTATCTTTCATTCATTATTTTAAATTGATTAATATTAGATTGAATTTTTTAAGAAAACTGGAAACAATTCTAGTAAGATAATTCTATCAAAGTCGCCAATCTTTCTTCAGATAAGTCAATAAAGATAGAATGAAAAAAAAATTAGGAATGTTAAGAATTCACGCGAAAATTAGTTTCGTCTGAAACTAACTTTCAACAATTTTTTTGCGTCCGGTAATTTTTCCGACGGTGAATTCAACCACCGTGATGCCAATTGCCAATGCCAGCGAGATAATAGCGAACGATTCTGGAATGAAGCTGCGCGCGGTCGACGCACCCGAGAGAGACAAACGAACCGCGCCCGCGGATGCGCTGTGATTGGTCAATCGCCCTGCGTCCCGTGACGTAGCGGCGCCACCAATCCGCGACCAGCAAGACGCCGCGCCACGAGCGAAGCCAAGCGGATGGCTATGTATAATTCTGGCATCACTGCGGAGTGCGATAGACTAGAGAGCAGTGTGGTCACGTAGTCCCATCGCGCCGCATGGTGGATGGACATTACTCCCGTTCGGTCACCGGAAAAAAATGCTGTAAATTTGTGCGTCGTCGCCGTTGCATCGAAGCGGAAGGAGCGCGTGCCAGCGGAGATTATCCCTCGTCGGATCACTTTTACGGTAATTATTGTGTGCACTTGACCACAAGAATATTCGCGAGGAAGCAAGAGGAGAAAGAGAGGAGGAGGCTCATGCTTGTCCGACGACATCGACGCACCGATCAACTGAAGTGAGCGGCAATCCGTTTCATATCGAGGGATGCATCCCTCAGCGAGAGAGCGCGATTTCGCAGTTGGCGGATCGCCCTTATCCCGCGTCATCGTCGCCGTTTGTATCCATCGAGATCCATCCGTTGATCGATCTCTCTCGATCTTTCCCGGCGGAGGGATCTTCGTTCTCCCTTGTTTTCGTCTCTTCGTTCTTCGTCCCCGCCCCCACCAACGTGTATACGTTTCGCATCGTCGTGTCTCTCTCTCTCTCTCTCCCTCTCTCTCTCTCTCTCTCTCTCTCTCGTAATCTGTCTCGCCCTGTTACCGGTTTCTCTCCGTTTCTCTCTTTCTTGCTGGTCCTCGCTTGTCACGTCGAACGCGCACACTCACGCAGGCGTTCCGTATACGTACACACATACCTACACACACGACGCGCGACGTTGACAAGGGCGAATACCGACGGAGAGTCTTGGGACGCCGAGGATGTGAATTTCTGCGTAGTTTCCGCAAACGGGGAAACTTCCGGGAAGCGATGCCAATGCTTTTCAGCAACGAGACAATAAGAAAAAAGAAAAGATATCTTATCGGCTTTCCCTCTCGTGAGGCGCCGCTCCTCTTCCCCCTCCCGCACCGCCCACCACATCGCCTGGTGTCGCGCGCGCGAGATGCCATTGCACCGCCGAACGGATCGCAGCAGGAAAAGCTATAAATACACACGCATCGCGCGCGGGGTAAACAAACTTGACCTCAGCGGAATTCTCTTATCGGTGATACAGTAGGCGAGCGACTTTGAGGTTATGTGTCGCGAACACGTCCTTCGAATTCGACGCGTCGTACAGACGGCGATAAATCCCGGCCGGTGCTTAGATGCGCGACAAGGTAAACCTGCTGCGAGCAGGAAACGCATTGTGGTAACGGAATATTTGCCATCCATTATATAATTTTCTCGAGGATTACTCGTTCTTTCGCGGCGATCAAGGGAAAACTTCGCGAACTTCTCGATAATTCGAACGAGCAATAGCATGACGACGTGCCTCGTTTGACATATCGGACACTTCGTTCTCTAATTCCGTGGCACGACTGTTAAAATGAACTTTTTAATCGCTTAAAAATTCAGTTTTAGAATTTTTGTAAGATATATATTTAAGTAATTGCGATTTCGTGTATATCGTTTCTTGTGAGATTTCATAGTTGTACTTATATCTTTTTCAAAATTTTACGATAAAAGGTTTGAACTTCTTTGTTTTGCTAGATAAAAAAATGTAATTAATGTTTGTGTTTGTATACTTTTGACTTCCAAACTGGAAAGTCAAGATTGGTAGAATACATATTAAAATATAATTCTTCTATATTTCCTTTATAATATAATGTTATGTTTATATCTAGTACTACTTTGTAACATAATAATAATGATTGACTGTTTATGTGTGTTCTGTTTCTTATAAAAACATGAGTTACAGGTAGGTGATTTAAATAGAATGACATGTTTCGATTCCTTTTGTTTTTGTAGCAGAATACTGACATTGGTCAGCTACTTGAAGGCTGTGAGCACGATTGCTGTGCATTTGGCTTGAGCAGTGGTTGAAACGCTACTGCATTGCAAGAGAAATTTGTAGGTGATTCAAAATGAAGTGGACATCTGCTACTCCCTTCAATGAGCAAGTGGGCGAACTCACTCGTGTGTTCTCCCAGTGGAACGAATGTGAACAGACTGTTGTTCTTTATGCGCTGTTGCGTATTATACCTGCTGTACAAGCGAGGTTTCTCTCGCAGGCGATAGAACACTCATTGCACTCTGTGGCAGAATTAGATACCAAGGAAATAAATGCCAATAATCCAAGTAATTATCGTGTTTACGTTTTATACTTAAGAACAATTTTAAGCATGATTTTAATGGGATGTACTTCATATATCATACTTGTAAAGCAAAGTATGTTAATAATAAAATATTTTATTATAGGTTACATCAATTCATTGTCAGCAGAATCAACAGAGATTGCGATTAATCAACTCTTGACACATCTGCCTTTATTAAAGCCTGGGAATGTAGAGTGCAAAAAGAGCTATCTGGTAGCGATACCAGAATTAGTAAATCATTGTGTAAGTACGGGACAATATACAGAACAAACGCAGCAGCTTTTGAGCTATACTCTGATTCATCCTGCCATAAATGGTCAAGACAGACGTCTTTTAACTCAATGGCTCAGAGATCTAGAAGATCGTATCAGTAATACACCACCCATTACTGGTTTCGAAGATTATCCGAATGCTGCAATGAGGTGAATGAAATAATGTGATACTATAATGATACTTACATATATTCTTATATCTGTAGTATGGTTCTAAATTCGAGTTTTCTATTATTATAAGATGGGAGAATCCATGGCAGAGGAATTCCAAACATCACAATGATCAGCCAAATTCGTTTAATACACAACTAGGCGGCACGTTTAATTTACATTTTCCTGCATCAGTTAATCGTCAACGTCGTTCGAATAGCTTGACACCACCGGTAGCGCCGCCGCATCACCTCGAAATTGTGGATCGTACTAATAACACAAATTCTTCATCTAGACACAAGCCGCGCAGCTTTAGTGTTTCCGGAGATCATGCCAGTAATTTTCAATTATATTTCATATATAGATAAATTTATATTGTATCCGCGCATTTCTTTAAATAAATCATCTTTTAGGCAATATTATTGGTTTGGGTCCACTGAGCCCACAGAGTTCCTGTGCGAGTAGCGGTAGCGAGGGTCGTTTGGATGATGCTTCGAATCGTTCGCTCGCGAGTGGCATGAGAGGTAGAAATGAGATTTTAATACTGTCAATCGATAATATATGAGATCACCCGAAAATACATCTTCGAAATTATGGAATCTTAATTACATCTTTCGGAGTCATCTCTAACTAATTATATTTACAGATCAGAATATCGATATCTAATTATAAATTATTCTTTTTAGATGTACAATTATGGCTTAAAACATTACGACTTCATAAATACAGTTATCTCTTTGCTACTATGAATTATGAGGATATGCTGCAATTAACGGAAGATCAATTAGCGGAACAAGGAGTTACGAAAGGTGCTAGACACAAGTTGGCTCTTTCTATCGCTAAACTACAGCAGCGATATAATACACTTTTAAATCTAGAAAAAGGTCTAGTGCAACCTAGTGCTCGCGACGGCATGCAAAACACTTCATTCTCGCAGGGACCATCATTGCTTCTTAATACAATGGAAGAACTTAAAACGATTCTTGCCACTCCCATGAAACCGAGTCAAGAGAATGATCCACAAGATATTCCTGCGCAGTTTACAAAAGTACTTGGAAAATGTATGTACAAACTAAGTGGTGTGATGGTTCCAATTTTATCAAAATTAAATAGAATTATTGATAACATTATTGTATGATTTTTCCTTTTAGTGTGCAGTAGATTGGCTTTGGAAAGCGTTGAGGATGGTATTTTGTGCACGTATGTCAACATTTTAGAAAAAGTGTTGCAGCATGACTGTTTCACCTCGAATCAGAAGGAGAAAGTACAGCAGTGGCGCAGTAGACTTGGAAATCCGCGACCAACTCCAAAGTAAGTCGAGATATATGTCTTCGTTAATATAAAATGTTTAGAGAAATATTTAAAGTAAATTGATGAGTATTGTGTGGTAACTTTCGACCTAATAGATGTAATTTTAGATGGCAACATAACTACGGATATAATAATAGAAGATATGGGAATCCACAGCAGCACAGAAAGCCAAGTTTGAATATGAATCACATTCACAATAATCATACACATAGCAATCAGTTTATGATTGCTTCACATAGAAACAGTATATCCACACCATATTTACAAAATAATCAGAATCAGAATCATAACATGAATAGTATGAATACGAATAACTTGCGCGCGGTGCATACAACCGAGAAGAGACCTAGTTTACAGGAGACCAGCTTGCAGGTAAGAAAGAATATTAAAAATCTGTAAAATTTAATATTAAAAATCTGTAACATTTTGTTTATTAATACAATGATTTTGATTTTACTTTGTAGCAATTGCAGAAAACATTACAACGTGCGTATAGCGCGCCACGTGATCATTTTGTGGGTCATTCTGCTAATGGAGCGAACGAGACGACGGAACCGGAAATCAATTCTCGCTTGGAATCCCTCTGCTTGAGAATGACTGAGCAAGCGATCGGTGGGTTCGGCGAGGCCTAATCTTCCATATTCGCGTTCTGAGATTATAAGTAAGTCCCATTTTAAATCCTTTTCGGATTTTTGACTCCGAAAACTGAGGGAAATTCTGTTCGCCAAAACATGAGTCATCTCTATCTCGTGCTCGCTCGTGTTTTGGCAAACCATGTTGAGTCATTGTTTTAAAGTGATATTGCAATGGAGACGACACATTTTTTTGGTGTGCAAATACCTGCGTATATACACACTTATGCTTTAATATCCTAACCAAATGGAGAAAAAAAATGTCCGAAATGTGCGACATTATTGAGAGAGAGATAAAGATAGGTTTCTTTTTTCGAAGATTGAACACTTACACATAATACACATACACAAATTATTTTTTATTAATGTCCGATGCAGTTGTATTATTTAATTGACAGAATTTGGCAAGCCAAATGCTAGAAAGATAGATTCTTTCCTCGATTGTTTGCTGCAACCATATATATAAAGATATTATATAAGAAAAAGTATATATATATATACACGCATATAATAGGATTTTATGAAGCAGAAAGAAAGGAATTTTTAATCATAAAATACGAGGAAAGAAAGATGGAAAAGATGACATTACATCACCATGCGATGTTCTGCAATATTATTTTTTGTGTTATCCATTTTACGAAATGGAATTCGTCTGATTTTAAGCGCTGCGGGAAACGTTGTAGTAACGTAATTGTAATTCATTTTTAATAACTGGACTGATTTTACTTCTTTTTATTATATTACTATATTATTATTATTATTATTATTATTATTATTATTATTATTATATTTTTACTATTATTACTATCAACATCACTATTACTAGCGCTACTACTATTGCTCCTACTATTATCGCTACTACTATCATTACTATTTTATCACTATTACTATTTCCACTACTATCACTCTCACTACTGTTACTATCGCTCTTTACTGTTACTATACTCCGTCTAGGGAATGAGCATACTTAAAGGATTGCCGCTTTGTCGCATAAGTTAATTCGCGCATAAAACTTTAAAACTTAATCTCAACTGTACTAAGAAGTACGTATGGCGGCGTGTATGCTTTGTAGTTTGCGCACAGATCTCGTGATTTTTCAATTTGGTTGACGGATTTCATCCCATTTTTCTTTTTTTTTCTTATTTTTTTTAATGATACTGAACGCAAGTAAACATACAATAATAAGATATTAAGGGCCTTACGTGAAAGATGAACAAACGTATGAGGTGTAGAAATTTGATATTATAAAGTAGCAGCGAAATTCGAGGGAGGTAGACTGGCGCTGTACGTATTATGGCGCGACATCGAAATCTGTGGCTTTAAATTATAAGCATACATCGTATCTAATCTATTTAGCATGTGTTAAAGTAGCGTCGCGAGTAATGTAGCATAATATTTTTTCGTGCAAGCAGAAAATTAAATTTATTAAATCGCATAACGCTAGTGAATAATAACCGATTAACCATGAAATAAGAAAAAAAATATATAACGAAAGACTGAATAATTCACGCGCCATGATCCGTCGATTTAGATTATCTGGATGCTTCACTGTCCCTTCCGTTCGTACGATTTCATGCGCGCGTGAATAGAATAATTGGAGAAGACTGTGAAGATGGAAAAACTTGTCAAAATAATTAAGAATTAGCGAGCGCGCGAGAGAGAAAATAAGAGCGAAAGAGATTTAAAAAAAAATGAGCGAGAGCGAATACCGAGGTTGAAGAAGATGAAACTAGTTAATTAGTATATATTATATTAGTGATTATTGTAACAATTATATTCTGCTAGAGGATAATACATGTAAGATCGCGCGGTGATTTCTCGAATCCAGGAGTATCCTGTTAGAATAAAGCTAAGAACTGTCTATTTAGTAATAATCGTACACACACTGAAGGGATGACCATACTTAATCATTATTTCGTTTCACATACGCGATACCTTTTACTCGATCAGCGGCAATAGCAGCACCACCAAAACTATCCGATCGGTTATATATACATATATATTGCGAAGGATGAAACTCCACGAATTCCAAGAGAGATGATCAAAAGCTAGTCAAACGTTTCTAATTTCTACCAGTTAATCTGTATAGTTAATTAATTGTACATTAAAACTACATACACACATTATCAGAATTAGGATGACACTTGAAAGAAAACATATACAATCCACATCTTATACACACATACGTATAGACAGGTATATACATTCGCACTCGTGCGCGCACACACAGACACTCATACATATTCGCCACGTTGTACACGCAATAAGTAAAGCGATTCGAACGAGAACGCATGAAAAAGCTCAAAGACTGCTCCTAAGCGACATCAGGAATTTCATTCAGCGTAGAATTACTACTTATATATTTCATCTAATTGAAGCGCAGCATCTAATCTCCAACTAAAAAAGGCAGGACCTGAACTATATAAAGGATGCAAAGAGATTTTATCCGCATATACATATAGCGATCAGAGCTAAAGGAAGGAAAAAAGAAAGGGGGAAAAAGGGGAAAAAAGTTGTAATCAATCCTGCCGAGGATCGAAGGCCGCCGCTACGTTAATTTTCTGCCGATCGATCATTAATTTATCGTCATTGTTGTTTGTGGTAAACTTTACGGAATAGCGTAAACATATGTACTTAGTACTTTGCACAACCTCTGTCAGGATCGACAGACGCCTTGCTCAAAATTAACTGTCGGCGGCGGTTTGTTTCGTGATTTTCGAAAGGCGCGAAGACTGGCGATGCGCGAACGAGTGAAAACGAACGGATAAACAAATCAACGAGATATTCAGCTGAAACGTTTAGTCGCAAAGTGGAGAATCACAAAGAGGATAATGTGTATCCTATGTGTAGGAACACACTTCGAATAATCCTGAAAGAAGCGTTTTCTTAATATAAGATAGATGTTAATAAATGTAAAATGCATGTTTTGCATTATGTAGTTACTAAAAAAATTCAAAAATATAACAGTTACTGAAATAATGGACGTGATGTTAATGAAGTTCATGAAAGGTAACACGAAGTTTTTCCATTTTAAAGAGTGTACTTACATATTAATGGAATAATTCACTTCGTATCGATGCGATATCCAATTTCTATTAGTATGTAAATACTAATGATTTTTAACTCCTTGCGATTTTCCAGTTCGCGTTATTTATATATGCGCGTGTGCACATTTTATTTGCTTGACTCGTTACATTCATTTCGGGTTCTCTGGCTATCCTTTTAATTTGGATAGCAGTAAAATGTACCACGTTTGCCGCGTTCTCTGTTATCCGCTCGTTGACCTCGATTCAGGATAGGCGAAAGTAGGATAAACGAATGATATGTACGGGTTGAAAATTCGCGGATTATTCTTTGGCCGGACACTTACAATGACCATCAGCGACTGCTTAGGAATTGCGCTATTGATTACAATAGTAGTAGTAATAGACTATTTGGAATGATTTTTCTTGATTGCGATTTCGAGAACAAGACGATGTGAGTTTCCGGCTGAAGATATTCACGAGACCCAGCAAATGGTAATTAGATCCGATGTGGATAAGTATAAGACCGATGTGTCGTAGCGACTGATTTACTTTAAAGAAAGCGCGTCGCGCGACCGGAAAGCACGCCGCGGGACGCTTTTTTTCTTGTACGTGAGGGGTCTCGCATCCCTCGCTGGAGTACTAGTGTTCACGTTTTGCCGCAGCTTCTCCGGATAATATTAGATAAGTCGTAATAAGACCCTTCGTCAGATTGCTAACTGGGATACATTAGTCACATAAGTAAGCTGGGCAACTTGTAAAAATGCAATTTTTGTACTGTTATAAAAAGTTAAATAGACGAGGGTACACTGACGTTGTAGCGTGAAAGAACATTTTTCAATAAAAGATTTTTCATACGCATACATTGCGTGACTATTATTAATATTAAGCCTGTATACAAATAAATTAAACGAGAGAATTGGTTTTAACTTGCTAAGTAGTAATCAGTTCCAAAACGTTATCTCTCTTGTTCTATTATCTTATATTAGAGAGAGAGAAAGAAATAATATCTATTTTAAGAACTTAATATCTTGAATATATAAAATAATTTGACGAAAGTACAAACATACAACATTAATCTTTTCCAATTCCAAGACATTACTGAAAATGAAGGTATCACTGTCAGATATATTAATCATAAGATAATAACAAAAATTGATATTTCATTATTTCTTATGTAGTTACATTTAATTAAGAATGTTTCATTTATTTGAACGGTAATAGATGAGATGTGTGAAAAAAAAAGAAAAACATGTGATTGTGATTTTATAGTTCTCTAAACAGCATTTATTTTCTTCTTTTGTTACATTTCTGAAGTCGCGTCCCATCCGAAGACGTTGTGCACAATTTTAACGGTGAAAGATAATATTAAACGTCGATACAATGTCATCGTTCCGTGTAATATATAAATATTTAGACCTGTGCCGGCGACAAACGCGTACGCCGAATCTAGAATCATGTGATTTGTTCGATCGACTTTGTGTGCGTGCGCGCACGCGCGCGCGCGCGTGTGTGTGTGTGTGTGTGTGTGTCATCTCTCCATTCCCTACCCATCATCTCTAACGGAATGGCTACGTACATACGCAGGAATTCAATATATTAATGTATCTTTTTATCGATGTAAGGTTGTTGAAATATCGGATACGAGTACAAAACGATTCTTGTGATAACGAGGCGTTACATTCACGAATTCGCCTTTTTTTTCAAATTGTACTTTAACAACTTTGATAAATTAAAATCTCGATTTTTTTTCAAACTCTAGATCACTTATACAATGAAGGATAGATCTCAAACAATAGAAATGTCTAAAGATTCTTGAAATTTTGAATATTCAAATTTTTATGGTGATTGAGAATTAATTAATGTTAGACAAAAAATTAATATTGATTAGAGGTTTTTCAATCAGAATTCTACCTATAATATAGAAGTAGGTAGATAGAAAAAGAGAATTTAATTAATCATGATGGTAGTACAACATAATAGATTGTGCTCGACTTTGTTGTTCGTACCAAACATTTGAAGAACCTTTTTTCGTTTCTATACACTCACGCGTTCCGTCTAATACGAAGTGGCTACAAAATAATAATAAATACTTACAGTCTATCTAACGACTACTCTTAAGTTTGAAATGCAAAGGATCAATCATCGCTTAAATCGTACAGTTAAATAGACAATATCCACATACTTAAAGTTAGATCGTAATTTAATATATGTTCGGTATAATATAAACATCGATTTATCTCGCTTCCTCTCTTCATCATGCATACACATGCAACACGAGTGCGTAAATTCTACCTTTTATCTATACACATATTTACAGATCGACGATACGTTTTTCTGTTACGAACGCAGACCAACATGACACTGTTAATGCGATGAAATTCATGAATTCCAAAGACAACGAGATGAGAAACCATTTAATCTAATATTAAATAGTTTGTAGCTAAACATGTTTTTTCTTTATTATAGATTCTGCATATTGAAGTTATTATGGTAAGATGCAACTTCAATATATCGCTTTGACTATACCACTATCGTATCGTCCATTAGGCGAGCTTTTACCTATTTTATCGCGTTGACTTAAAAACAGAATTGCGTCAAACTGAAACTATTTTCTGTAATTTGCAGTTATATATTTAAGATGTCTATAGAAATTTTTATCAAACGATTTTTGAGGATAACAATCTTGTCTTGTTTAAACGTGATAACGTTTTGACTGGGCATTGGTGTTCATATTATTCCTAAGTACCGTCGAAAAATTTTTCGAAGATGATTAAGAGGGAACAGAAAATGCTAAGAGTGCACTCTCGCTGAAGAATTTTCATTATAATTTCCCAACCCAGTAGTTCGAATTTAAAAATTCGGCAATATACTATCTATACTGTATTTTATATTATTTTTAGACAATAACAGGTAATATACTATCTCTTCAAAGCAGAACAATTTTTTCATAAAAGTGAATCTGTCTTTATGGAAAAATCTTTCGTAACGGCACCTTTAGCCTTCTCCATTTTCTCTTATCCTATATATCCTATATATTATAAATATCGCGAACTATGAGATGATTAATTTTAAAAAAATGATCAATAAGACTATATATTTTTTTACCCGAAAATGATAAAACACAGTAAAAAAGAAATGGTTACTCTTTACAAAGAAACATACATATACATCTACATAAATAAAATGATTTAAATACTTTTTACTTTTATGAATAAAATCGGAAAATATTCGAAACTCCTAATAGGAGCAACATTTTTAGATGACGAAGTATGTGTATTGCATACTTAAATCAAACAATTACATTTAGGAGATAGTGTCACAGCTGGTCACTAATAACTTGCAGCGATAGACTCCAGTTTTCGTCTATGTACAAAGCCTTATAATAATCATAAGAAAAACACTAGTTTCAGTAATTATTTATGTTATCTAAGCATTGATACACCACCATCCGTATAATATTACACGAGGAACACACGCCGATCACTGTTACTCAACGTGGTGATTTGCAGAACCATTTTATCAATCGGCAGCGGTATGTAATTATGTTGTTAAAATTAAGTATCACTTTTGCTGCAACTTTCCCCGTACTGTTCGGAAATTATTTCATCGGTAAACGCCATAAATGACTAAAATGATTCCGCAAACATTCTTTTCTTAACGGCTCTCTGCTTTTGCAAAATCTCCTCTTTGGTCTCGTATATTCAAATAGAATATTTATAATACAACGCGACATGAAGAATTCCACTTGTCGCGTCACATTACATGTTTTCGTCATATTTCATAGTACGCTTGGCGACTAACAATCGGATCGAACCCATATTCTATTTGAGGATCGACTAACATGTAATATGGCATTACAGAATGAAAAAAATATACACATAGTCGTACGTAACGACATTCTTAAATCGAGTACGCTAATAATACTTGTCATGCAATATCAGTATAACATTTCGTGTTCGACGACTGCTAAAATTCGCATCCCGCATTTTGTTCCTACGCTAAATTTAATCATCTCCCCGCTCTGCTAAAGGCTACGATTTGCATTCGTACATTCTTACATTCAACGCTAAATGTGATCGTTTGATTTTAGAGATTTATTTGTCTCGTTACGAAGATCGTGTTTAACAATTTAACAGTCCTTAGAATCAATATTTCGCGCTAAATACGAAATATAAATACGGCTCTATGCACCGCGAGTTCATCTATCTCTACGTTAAATCTGTTATTGGCAGTACAGAAAAAAGAAGTGTGCGCCAGATCAATAGAATGTACAAACGATGAAAACCGTGCATATTTTTCTTTCTATTTCCAGCGCAATCGCCAGAATTACATAGAATTTCCTAAACACTGTGGTATAATTACCAAAAGCTCATATCTAAAGCTCCCTCTAATCCGCATTCGAGAGTCTCTACTCTTTAAAATTATATATAGCTATATTTATCATTAAATATTTATTATTTTCTCTGTTTATAGATGCTTGTTTATATATGTTCTTTTTGGGCGTTCTGCAGATAAGCCAAATACTTTGGATAAAATCTATATATCTCTATGTTAATCATTTATGGTATGGAAAATGTCATTTG